CAAGAAGAAGAAGAAGAAGAAGAAGAAGAAGAAGAAGAAGAAGAAGAAGAAGAAGAAGAAGAAGAAGAAGAAGAAGAAGAAGAAGAAGAAGAAGAAGAACAAGAAGAACAAGAAGAACAAGAAGAACAAGAAGAAGAAGAAGAAGAAGAAGAAGATTCTCCTTGTGTTCCTGCCGTTGCCAGGACAGGCAACGTCAAGTGTTCTGCCCTATTGCAGGTTCCGTCTCTGAAGTAAAATAACCTAAGTATAGTGCTGACAAGGGCGTAGAATCCGTACAATTTCCCTTCCACTAGGCACCTACCTCTTCGACTACCAGGCTCACTACGCTCGTAACATCACAGACAAAGAGGACATGTTTCTGGAAGACAAGTCGGAGGAAGGCTGTGCAGCTGCCTGTTCACAGGGAACGCGTTTTCTCTGCAGAACGTGGGTGGCCCCAGCGGGGAACTTTGTCTGTTTGTTTGTCTGTCTGTTTGTCTGTTTGTGTGTTTATTTGTTTGTTTGTTGGTTGGTTGGTTGGTTGGTTGGTTTGTTGGTTGGTTTGTTTGTTTGTTTTGTTTTTTTTGTTTGTTTGGTTGGTTGGTTGTTTGGGGAAGGGGTGTTTTTGTGAGAGTTTTCCGGTACTTGCAAGATAACAGGGTCATGTAAGTGCCAAATGAAAATTTATTTTTAACAAATTATTTTAAGTTTCAGTAAGGGTTTTCCGGCACTTGCAGTACAATTAAGTTATATGACCTTTGGAGTTGGGTTCTTTTTTTTTCTTTTTTTTTTTGATTTTGGTTGTTGTTGTTTTGTTTTGATTTTTTTAGTTTTTAGTTTGGGGAGGTTTTTTGGTTTATTTTTGCTTTTTCAAGCAAGAGTTTTACGGCACTTGCAGCACAATTAGATCGTATAAGTGTCAAATGGTAATTTTATCTTTTTAGTTTGTCAGATTTTGACGGCACCTAACACAATTTAGTCAATAGGTGACTTTTATTTTTTTAGTTTTAGTATGAGTTTTACGGCACTTGCTACACAATTAAGTCATATAATTACATTTAGAAACGTCTGTAGACTAGGGTAAGGAAATTTGAGCAGGATCATGATTGGGGTGTCGATGTTAATATAGTATTGAATAAATTTACCATTATGGCTAAATGAATTATTAATCAACCTGTTCGCATGGACCTAGGAACTACACAAACAAATTACTAGGTAGTTGGCAATAAGACTGTTTCGAATGATTTTTCGTTTTTATTATTTTAACCCTATCCGTACGCCCCGGGGTCATTTTGTACCCCCAGGGTTGTATTCTTTACATTTTAGAATACTTCTAGCACGAAGATCTCTTTGAAACTTTCAATATTTTTCAAAAAAATATTTTTGACAGACTGCTATGCAAAGCGTACGGATCGGATTAACGAGTAAATTTCCTCTTTGGAAAGTGGTGGCACAGAGTTCCCCACGTCGTATGGATACGATAGTAATACACGACGCACTGGTTGGGTTAATTTAAAAATAATTTTGACATCTCTAAAAATTTCATTTTTAAAAATCCCCAAAACCAACAGTCTTGAACTGTTTAAACATAACGCACACTAAATTTGACACGACTTATCTAACACACTAAAAGAAAATCGATACCGACCGAAAAAAAATTGTTTTTAACTGAGTAGACTAGTTTGTGTTCATTTCGATAATTTATAATAACAAAGTTCCGTCCTACATTTTTGGCCGACTTGAGTTCTAAAATCATGCAATCATAAACCAAAATGGCTATCTGCTCTATTGTAATCGTACGATAATTCTGAATCGTTATCAAGATATTCAAAGAATTGCATTCGGAAAAGCTTGACATGTTGTGGAACTCAAACTTTTTTTCCGTCAAATTTCTCAAAAATAGGTACTGAGCAGATAGAACTTTTGTAATTCTGGGGTGGAGAATTGTGTCTCTGCCTCTTTCTTTCTCGTGGGTTATGTGACGCAACAACAGTTCGTTTAATAGGATTACACATGAATATGCAAATCTTGCTCACGAGCTTCGGTAAACGTGTCTGTTCATCCTCTAAATACTCATAGCTTATTGCTCAAGATAACTCACAACATTTCACAATCATTCACAATCCTTCACAATCTCTAGCAATCTCTTCCAATCACTAGCATTCCCGCACATTCCTTTACAATCCTTCACAATCACTTACAATCCAACACATTCCCTTACAATCCTTCACAATCACTTACAATCTCTCACAGTTCCTTACAACCCTTCACAATCACTTACAATCCCTCACATTTCACTTGCAATCCTTCACCATCACTCTTAATTACTCACAATACTCACAATTATTCACAACTATTTGTAATCACCCACAACCTTTCAAAAAGAATACTTGTTCATAATCACTGACTATCATTCTTAAAATTACTCACCATCTTTCATAACCACACACAATCATTCAAATTCATGCACAATCATAATCCTGACAATCACTCTGAGCCATTTACAATCACCACCTATGACTTAAGAGTCTCCAAAATAAATTTTTTTTCTTCCAGCCAGTCATTTTTCAGCTATAAAAATGTTTAATTTTGAGTTTACATGAGAGGGTTAAAGTAAGGTGACCAGATTTTTAAAAATTAGAATTCGGTTTTTCCATCACTCGCTCGACCTAAAGTGATTTTTTAACGTGCTATCTCAACATATCATTATTATCGTGTATATCATCATCATCATCATCATCATCATCATCATTATCATCATCATCATCATCATCAGATATCGAACATATGTTTGAATGTCCAGGAACAATGGCAATTCGAATGGAGTTATTTGGACGAGTGGAGGTGCCACTAAGCATATTGACAATGG